GGGGGGGGGGAGGGGGAGACGGGGAGGGAAATGGGAGGCGGGGAGGAGGCGGAAAAAAATTTTTTTCAATAAAAAATTATATTAAAAAAAACATAAAATTGATTTTGAATATATTGCTTAATGGTAGAGTTGTTTAGCAAATGGGTTGTCACAGGTTTTCTGCCCAGTAATGTGAAACTAAACCAAAGATTACGTTTTATGTAGATGTTACAAATAACTATTCAGAAATCTCAATAAAAAAAAAGAAAAAAGGAAAAAAAAACTTTTTAAAATTATAAAAATTTACTTTGTTTGGATGTTTTGAAATCCCAAGCATGATAACACAAAAAAGCAAGATTATTTTATAGTCAAGTTTTGATTATAATTACTCACCTAAGAATACATAAACAAATTCTGCCTCCTGATGTGAGTCTGCAGAACCCAAATCTCTGCTTACTTTCAATGTCTGTCAGTACGAAGGTAAAGTGCTGTCCAACTTGATTCTGAGATGCCCTAAGATAAAACAACATCATAGCATTAAATCTGTGCTGATTTTCTTGAAGATAAAAAGGCTTGACTAGTATTTACATTGGCTTCACCCTCCCAATACTGGGTTCTAGAATCTGGCATGAGGACAACTAAAGGTGCATGAATCTATACTCAACTCAATCAACTCATGAGTCATGAGTCCAGCATCACAGTAAGTTCTAATGGCTCATGGTTGGAGCAGATCAACAAATCAAATGCCTCACTTGGAAGTGAAGGCTCATCTTACATTTTCAGAAGAGTAAGTTTTCCATAAAATACATCATGAAGTTGGAGCCATGGTTACTCGCTCTGCAGAAAAATCAATAAACTTAGTCTCTACACTCATCTTTAGCATCTCTCTCATCTAAGGTATTCTTTTCCAAATTGTAAATGCTTGGAAAGCAAATCATGTTGCTTCATCGTCTGATGGTGGCCACCATCATGTTGAATTATTTCTTCTGTTGACATTCTTACCCAATGTAGTACCATCTCAACAAGCAGGACTGGTATTTTTCTTAGTATTGTCTTTTAGAACTATCAATAAGCTACAGAATCAAACACCAACTCAAAAGAATACACTTCCTACTAAAGAAGCCTATCTGAGTTTTACCTGATTTTGAAATAAATAGGTTAGAACTCAATAGCATGTACCACCTCTGCATAAGAGATGATATAAGTCACTAGACAAAATGTTTATCTCTGCTTGAAATGCATCAACACACTTCCAGATACTGGCTCATAAAACCAGAATAGAACTCAAAGTTCTTTGTCCCAAAATAAAATACTGACAACATATAAATTTGGTTTTAAAATAGACATATGGATTTTTAAAAGCTGAAAAGTTACTGCTAGTATTCTAAAACTGCAAATTATTTGTCACAAAATGCCAGCTACTAAACCAGTACAAATCTAAATGGACAGGGAATGTCATAAACTTCAAATAAATCCTCTAGTGATTAACATATGTTCTAGTGTTCAAGATACCCTCTTGTAGTTTTTCTTCCTTTATTTTGTTCTTACTATTGATTTAATACTATAATTTTGATGTAAAACAGAAGAACTAATAATACTCCAGAAAAAGGTAAGAAAATATTTTTTCATTAGCAATATTTATTAGTAGTAACTAGCATATACTATTAGATCACTTTACTATCTATACACTAAAATTTCAATCTCAGTCCCACTAATCCTTGGCAAAATGTCTCCCTAAAATAAATTTTCTTTTAAAAATTTTGTATATTACACTCAAATAAAACTAATAATAGTGATAAATCACATGAAATACAATAAATGTCACTATGTCCAGAGATATCTATTTATTATACTAAATCCCAACTACAAACAAAAAGTTCACTTAGTATTTGAAGTGAAATAGAAACACAACGAAATTGTCAATGCTACTGGGGAAGTTTCCTACAGCTGCCGCAGTAACACCCTGTTCTATGTTGCTGTTCTTGGGAGACAACTGAGTTCACAACATCACACAGAAGCTTTTCCAATTAGGGTGAACTGGCAATGAAAGCAGGGTACAGACATCCAGTTTTAAAAGACTATCTGAAGGCCCTGATCAATGACATTTTTTTTCTGCTAGTTCTTATAATCTATACCTGAAGAACAAAAAAAAAAGAAATATAATCTGTGGTCAACGTTGCTTTAAGTCCTCCTCACTGGCCATGGCAGAGGAAGGAAAAGACTAATCTGAAAGACAATATCTAACTATCTAATTCTGAACCTCTCCTCTTCAGTGAACAGAAACCAATGAAGGTATGTGTCATTTTCTTACCATGTGTGCAATAAAAGCAAAAAGTCATCTTAATTATGAACTTATACTGTACCTTTCCACGTCAAAGGGAAAACAGAACTTGGGCACGCTCTGCAATACTTCCTACAAATGCAAATTCAAAAAGAGGATGCTTTAGAACGTTTTTTAAATGCAGTTAAAACTTTTTTGAGACATTTTCAAGGAGTGGATGAAGTATTTTTAAGACAAAGGCACAGGTTCTCAGACTGCAATAATTGATTATTAAAAAGGAATTAAGTGTGTGCTTTGGCAGATTGCACTGACAATGCCCGGAAGCCCCAGGAGGGAAAGGCCTGGCCTGAAGGGTATTAACACCCTTGGCATCCCCGCTGGGATCCCCTTCAACAAGGCCATATGGATCTCACAAGAAGCACTGCACCATATGGGCAAGCTGTGTCTGCTGCTACTTGTACCACAGGCTAGCCACAGGGACTTTTCACAGATTCTGGCTCAAAAATATAAACGTTGTTTCAATTAAAATGCAGGCAGAGAAAAGGAAATGGAGTTGACAGCGGAATGAATTACTGAGAAGTATAACAACTCTGCATGTCCCAAACTCAAATGTTTTCTTAATTAAAAACTTTGTATAGATTCTAAAATATACATTTGCATGTTTAAACACTTTCTACTATATTTATCCCAAATAGTCCTCTTAAATGTGTATCTTAAAATAAGTATCTATTACAATATTGTTAAATAGTAAAATATTAAATATTAAAAATGAATGTTTTATGAAAATAGACAAAATCTCATTAAAAATCTAGAGATAATATTTATTAAATTACAACAAAATGCAAACAATTATTAGATAGTAGGAAAAATAAGAAAAAAATGTCTTCGATGTATCTGAACAGCACATTAAAATTTAATTTTGAATCTAAAATTCCATCTATAATTACAGACATCATAAAAATTAAAGTTAAGTGATCTCATAAAGGAGCAGAAACTAAAAACAATGCCTGTTAAGAAACAAAGGAGAAAGTATCTTAACAAAGCAGTCACTTCCACAATTACATTTTACCAGTAAAATCAGTCAGATCCAAAAACATAAACCTTCTATAGAAATACACTAAGTATTTTTAAGTGAATTTCTTATTTTAAATATATATATATACAACAATTATCAGTTTAAAATAAACTACTGTAGAAATTCAATAGCAATACCTAAGAAAGCTTCAAGAGAACTAACCCACAGAAGCATAAAGAACAGCTCTATATTACGGGAAAAGGCATCCTAGCCTTAGGGCAAGTATGCAAGCTTGTTATCAATGTCCCATTAAAAAAGTTTTAGCGCAGGCCCATGTGCAGAGAAAGTTATCTTACTCTTTGTAATATTTTGCTAAATGAAATTAAAGAAGTCATTAGACATGAAATAAATGACTGCAAACAGCTTACTACCAATAAGGACAGTTGTTTTCATTCGACTATTGCTTAATTGTTATCTTGTGTCATATAACAGGAAGTCATTTACCGTATTACTACACCTATAAAGAGTCGTATGATAAACTCTTGCAAAATTACCCACATAAACCATAAACAATAAAAAACATTCAAAGTCGTTGTCTACCTCTGAGTATATGTAAATTAGCTGTATATTTCACATAAATTTTAATGCTCAAATTAAGGAGGAAGCCTCTCACTTCATTGCTTAATCTTTCACAAACACCCCCTCTTTTCCATAAGCAACGTGCATGCAACACACTTCTGCAAAACAGCCTCAGCTCGCTTCCCAACTGGCAGCAGCATCCCTCAGGGGACAAGTCTTTAAACCTCTTCACTCTTTAATATTCAACCAGCCAGCAGGTCTATAGACGAGTGTATAAACAGTATAGGGAAAAAGCTCCTCTCAGCTTATGTCAGTGACAGAGTGGCTATGCTGCTGCCTATTTTCCCCTGGCAGTGAAAGCAGGGGCACAAAGACCAAGAGCTGAAGTCCTCCGAGCTCCTAGGACTTAGTGTCTTCCTTAATTGTAGGTGCAATATAAACTAAAGTGACTTTAAACAGAGGAGGGTGAAGAGAAGGAAAAGCATTCAGACAGCTCTTGCTCTCTGAGTCACTTTATAATAGTGATAAATGAAAATATGTCTATGTATATTAGAACTAAGTGTGAGGTTGTATATTCGCATTCTCTCTCACACACAGCTCCTTCTAGACATGTATTCACAGGTTAGTTAGATTTGCCTCTCTGCTGACCACAAACAATTTGGCTATTTCTACAGAAACTTTCTTAACCAAGAAAATTTGAGTTTCAGAATATTTCTAATTAAAATAGGTTATTCTCACACAAAAGCATCATAATTGCTAACATATGTCAAAGATAAAAAAATCAAAATAACAAACAGAATGAACTAGAATATAAAATTTTCCAGAACAAAGTACCAGTGGGCAATAACATACATTTTATACATGTTCCAAAATAAGACATCTAATTATCATATTAATGACTGGAAATAACTCATGGAAACGTCTTTCTTGAGTGTTTGTCCCACAGAATGTAGCTCACCTATAGCAGTGATTCTCAACCTTTTCTAATGCTACGACCCTTTAATATAGCTCCTCATGTTGTGGTGATTACAAACCATAAAATTATTTTTGTTGCTACTTCATAACTAATTTTGCTGCTGTTATGAATTGTAATGTAAATGTCTGATATGCACAATATCTGATATGCAACCCCGTGAAAGGGTCATTTGACCCAAAGGGGTCGTGTCTCATGAGTTAAGAACTGACCTACAGGCTTGCAAAGAAGCCATTTTTGTGAGAGAGAAGAGTAAATGCTAGTATCGGATGGACAGTCTGCTTAGCCCAGGAAGCTGCCATGCAGCATCTAAGATGGAAACAGGCCCTTAAGAAACAATCTACTTATTGTCGTTGTTGTTTTGTTTTTTTGAGACAGGGTTTCTCTGCAGCTTTGAAGTCTGTCCTGGAACTAACTCTTGTAAACCAGGCTAGCCTCGAACTCACAGAGATCTGCCTGCCTCTGCCTCCTGACTACTGGGATTAAAGGTGTGAACCACCACTGCCGGGCAAGAAACAATCTACTTTTAAAAAATCTAAAATCCACAATGACAACAGTCTTAGAACTGTTTTAGAAAGATTATAAGATGAAACACATCACTTCTGCAACCTATTTCCCCTTCCACTTTCCCTAGCACTTCCTCCTGAGCAAATGCAAAGAGCTTCCTGAAGCTCCTCACTTCCCTCTTTCCTGTTCTGCATAGAAAATCTAATATATACACCATGACTTCAACTTTATGTATTCTAACTTCTTACAGCTTAGGCAATTTTATGAAGTCCACAGTTCATTCTCTCTCTCTCTCTCCCTCCCTCCCCCTTCTCTCTCTATACACACACACACACACACACACACACACACACACACACACACACACACATTCACTTTCCCACATCACTTTCGGAACAGACCAACACCTCACACTTAGGATGTTTACAACTGAAGTTACAGTGACACCATCCTCTCCAAAGACACAAAACCCAAAAATATAGCAATCATTTATATCCTTCCCCTGAGACTCTCATATATAATCAATCATTCACCAAGATCATTAATTAAATTTCATAATTATCTTGCTTTCCATAGCTGCATTTGACAAAGTGCCTCTTTTTAGTAAACCTCCAAGCCTCCACTCCTCAGACTTGCGACTTTATCCAGCAGGAACAGAAATAGCCTCAACTGGAAGAGATGCAGGATGGAATGGTTGGGTCTCCTCTGACAGTCAGCACACCCAATCTTGAAGCTTTCCTGTGGGTAATCACTGCTCCTCCAATAAACAATGTAATAAGTGTGCCTAGAGCAGAGTTCAACAGCAGGTTGCAAGATAATAAAGAAGAGCTGAACTCCCAAAAGCAGAGATGACGTAGATTCAGTGAGGGACTATTAACTGAGCATCTCCCTCCAGAAATCAGCATTGTCTTTCCTGGTCTACTCTAAGCATGCTGACTTTTGTCCTTTCCATGCAGTCGTGGAAGGAGCCATGAACATTCAGCACATTACACAAGAACACAGCAGCAGTAGCCAGTACCCAGTGAAGAAAGCATCTCAACCCTCACTTTTCCATAAGCCCACCACGTGGTATTGAGTTAGGCCCAGAACCACAGCCCCCTTCCGAATTAATCATGCAAGGTTATCTATGAGGCTCACCACAGAAAGCTAAGAACAACCAGAATCCAGACTCATTTGCTTTCAAATAAAATCTTAACACAAGTAATTATAAAGATTTTAGTGAACTAAATGTTCTCCACAATAATAGTATACAAATAATAAATTCACACTAAAGTTTTAATGTACATGTAAACACAGTATTAAATGGAATAGTTCTCAAATATCATAATTGTATTTTATTTAAAAAAAAAAAGCTTCCAGAATCATCTTTACAACAAAGTTCTACCTAGCAATTTTAATTCAAACTTTTAAAAAAAATGGCAGTTTTCTAAAGATAATATTTGAATATAATCTAGGGCAAATAAGAAATAATAAAATGTAGGCATTCTATCTATCTGTGCTTTATAAAAGGGAGCAATAAATTCTACCAAAATTTAAAAAAAAAATCAAGCACTACTCAGCCACAGCAGTTTGGGTAACAGAACTGAGCTCAAGCCCCACAATGTGCACTGAGATGTGGCAGGGCATCTCCGAGATGGCAAGAGAAACTGTGGGACACACTCCATCCTCCATCCTCCAAGGGCAGACAGGCACACATGACCTGGGGACTCAGTCAGGGATATACTTTATTACCGAAGAGGCTATAGGAAATTACAGAGAGCCTCAGAGTCTTTTTAAGAAGTGTTTTCAACATACAGATTCTATTTAAAACTTGAGAAAAATATAATAAGCAGGATAACTGAGCCCAGTATGATATTTTTCCTCTTGGTTTTCACTTTTTTTCTGTTTGGCCATTTTAATTAGAAATTAAACTCATATTTACCCCTCCTCAAATCAGAAGACACACTGACTGTTTTCATATTAATATTGTTTAGATGGTTAATTCAAATTAACTTCACTATCAAAACTTCGAAATAAATTTTTATCATTAGAAGACTTGAGAAGGTCCATGAAGCAGAT